CTTTTGATGCCCCATAATCTATTGAAAACTGGACACTTTGTGGCCATTCTGGGAATCACATTTTTCTCTATCCCCAGAATTCATTTTTATTGCTATTTGTTGTTGTTATTGCTGCTGGCATTTACTTAGTGAATTTCTGAATTAATTCTGTAACATCAGTTGTTTTGTGTGCAGCCACTGAAGTCTGCTGAGTTAGCCCAGTGCCAGCTAATAATTGGAAAGAGATTTCCTTACATACCTGAAAGCAGTATTTGTCTTTGCTCAGAGATCTGTAGGCATGTTGGAACACAACTTCAACACCCAGACATTCATTATGGGACTCTACGTTAGTCTTTATCTTTCTGCTCAGGCACAGTCTCAAGATGAGCCAGGGATGAGACATGAGGGCCTTCTCAGACCTTTTCTGGTTATTTCTACAGCCCTGGGCATATGCAGAGCTCTGACATGCACATGGCCTTCTATACCTCAGGTATACGTCAAAAATATTCAAAGCTCTTGTAAATATCTCATTCTTCAGCTTTTCCTTTTTAGCAGTTTGGTTAATTTAATATTTTTCCCAACTGTTATCCACTGTCACAGTCAGCCGCAAAGTTAATTGATTACTGGTAATTGTTTTTGACTTACCCACTGGGAAAATGATATTTGCATTAAGAGGGCTACAGATCAGATGAAATAGAAACGGTCTAGCAAGAGTGATCTTCACAGGAAGTATCAGGCCAGATAATGACAATTTTCTGGAAAGGAGATTTTGAAAGAAGTCCAGCTCCAAACTGCTCCCTCTGGATGCCTCTGGACTATTGGTTTTCACTGTGCATTCTGGTTATTATTTTTTAAGGCTACAGTAGAGCTAGAGAGTGGGTGAATGGGATTAGGACAAATCAAAATGACACATAGCCACCGATCTTGCAAAAGGTCAACCATTTTTCTTAAATACACTCTACTTATACAGATGCAAGCCTTTGGTCAATGTCTAGAATTTTGAACAAGTTGATTCAGACCATTTCTTGCCCATTTTCTCATTTTCTCAATGGAAGAAGAAAATTTCCGAGGTCCTTACTCTGCCATTTTCACAGATGTTACCACCATTCTCCATATTATTTCCTTGCTGGCAGAGTGGGAGGCAAGATATCCATTAGGGAAAAAGGGAAGAAGTGTGTTATATTTGAGAACATTTTGGATCATACCTGTTATGAACACCAGGTCACTCACTTGTCAGTTAGACGATGCTATCTAAACCATGACTGAAACCTTAGTTTCCCTATCCTTAGAAAAATATAATATCTTACAAACCCCCTCCATATGTTGTTGTGAGTATCATATAGATTATTTACTTAGGTTGCAGGATGGCAGGGGTACAACAGATGTTATTTTCCAGACCAGCATCTATCCCCCTTTTGGGACAATCATAGGACAGACACGGTAGAAACCAGAGAACTTGTCTCCCATCAGTTGTGGATGTTCTCAGGCAGGAATGCTGGGCTGAGAAGGGAATTTCTGACTTCACAGAGGAAGGACTTTCTCTCACTTTTCTTCTAAGGGCACTGCCATTCTCAGCTCTGGTTTAAAATCTTCCACTCCTCTTTGACTATTACTCTCATCCCCATGTCCATTTAGTTTTCAAGTTTCATGGCCTTTCTACAAACATTTCTTCCATTTTATTTATACCTTATCTGCCTGAATTTAGACTTTTACCATCTGAACTGCCAAAGCAATCTCCTAATTTTTCCCTGCACCAGCTCTGCCAGAATGCATCAATTTCTTCCCTTTGCTCACAGAGTGATCATTATAAAATCTAAATATTCTTCCTTAGGTTCTTCAAAGCATACACATTATCCTTTCTTCCAAAATTAGGTAATGACCGAGGTGTGTGCCATCCTTCAGGTCTTGGTCTTAACTCATCAGTCTATTTCTATGACCCATTGACTTTTGGCTAGAATACTTCATCTTCCATTTCTTAGGCAGAAAAAGAAGTGTACATATTATAACCTGGTACAAGTCGCTGCACCATGAGTTGCTCGAGGATATGCGTATTTGGCATTGGATTCCCTTATGTCTTCTTTCATGTTAGTCATTCACTCCTTCATGGACAATATTATAGTAATATCATACCATAAAACTGTGCGTCCACTGTCACCACTGACCTCAATATTCCTATATATGTTGGATTCTCAATTATGAGGCTGTTACAGTTGACTGTTCCATATTTCTTGATTGTTTCTCCTTTCTCGGATTACTAACTGCCTCACTTCATTGATCCTCCACCTATCTCCATGTTTACTCCCATATTTACCTCCCTTCAGTTTCCTTTACCCTTGTTTATGTAACTGCAGAGTCTGGAAAGTCCCATGATTTGTCATGTGCAAGATGGAAACCCTGGGAAGCTGGTGATGTAATGCTATCTAAACTTGAAGGCCTGCGAACCAAAGCAGCTGAAGGTAGAGATTCTAGTCCACTTCTGAGGGCCCGAGAATCAGGAGTACCAAGAACCAGAAAAGATGATGTTCCACCTGAAGCAAACAGAGAAGAAGCACCTAGGTTTTCTTCCTGCAAACTTTTCTCTATTCAGGCCTTCAGTGGTTGGGATTATGTTCACAGATGTTGGGGATGACAACCTGCTTTACTGAGCCCATCAATTCAAATGCTACTTTCATGCAGAAACACTCTTACAAACACACCTAGAAAACTGTTAGCCAACTATCCAGGAACCATGGGAACCATTCAAGTTGACACATAAAATTAACAACCACACTGTCTAATCTAGACTAGGTGTCATTTGCACGTATTTTTCTCATTCATTCCCCATATCTGTTTCAGTAGTCACCAAACCTTAAATATTCTATATCCCGAGTGTAAGTCTGACAGCAAGCTCCAAAGGGGCAATGAATGTTGGAGATAAGCCCTAATGGGGAAAATAAAGGTAATTAACCAGAGCAAACAAAATGATTGCTAGACAAAGCTAATGTTTGAGGCCAGGGATATACATTGGGTTAATCTGAGGATATTTATGATTTTTATCCATACTATTTCTATGGGCTGATTGTATATCACAAACAAACAAACAAAAAAAAAGAAACAAACAAAAAAACACCTCATATGTTGAAGTTGAAGTTCTAAGCCCTAATGTAACTGTGTTGGAAGTTAGCATTTAGAGGCATAATTAAAGTAAATGAGGTCATAAAGTTCTGTCATGACTAAGTTCAGTCATGACTAAGTAAGTCATGGTTCTTTTTTTTTTAATTTTTAATGTTTTTAAAAAATTTTTTGAGAAAGAGAGAGAGAGCACAAGCTGGGAGGAGCAGAGAGAGAGACACACAGAATCTGAAGCAGGCTCCAGGCTCTGAGCAGTCAGCACAGAGCCTGACATGGGGCTTTAACTCACGAACTGCGAGGTCATGACCTGAGCTGAAGTCGGACGCTTAACCGACTGAGTCACCCAGGTGCCCCAAGTCATAGTTCTTAATGAGATTACATGAAAGATAATTAAAGAAAGATTCAAAGAGTAAAGAACTCTTTTTTTACTTGGTTAACTTCAGGTAATTTTTGCAATTTTATTTAAATATCTATCACTAGACTATGCTGTTAACTGGAAAGAAAAATAATTCTGAAAGGTGAATTATTAAATTTAGTACTTGTAAATGTAACTGACATATTTTATGAACTCCTCTATTTTTCAAAACTCACTAGGGGCCCCTGGGTGGCGCAGTCGGTTAAGTGTCCGACTTCAGCCAGGTCACGATCTCGCTGTCCGTGAGTTCGAGCCCCGCGTCAGGCTCTGGGCTGATGGCTCAGAGCCTGGAGCCTGTTTCCGATTCTGTGTCTCCCTCTCTCTCCGCCCCTCCCCCATTCATGCTCTGTCTCTCTCTGTCCCCAAAATAAATAAACGTTGAAAAAAAAAATTAAAAAAAACAAAACAAAACTCACTAGATGACTTCTAAAGATAAAAAAATTATGTCATGTTTTATACGTTTTTGGTTTTAGTGAAGATGTACGTTAGAAAAGTTATGTATTATTCATTAAACACTATTTTTATAAATTTTATAAAATATTTTTGAGTTTTATTCAATCCTAAATTTAGTTAATCTCAGACAATTTTCCCATGTTCTTAGTGATATGTTTCTCATTTATTTTATAATAATAAAAAATTATCAAGTATAGCTGAATGAATGGATTTATTTTGATTTTTATATATGATTTATATTTATTAAATCCCAAAATGTCATACAGGTTATAACACACGCATGCACAAATATGAGTACAGGGTTTTTGAGTTACTTGCTAAGCCATTGTCTTTCAGCTTCAAACCCTTCTGTGCTCTGCTTGGGGATGCCTAGGCTGGGACCACACTTTCCCTCCACCTGCTGGCTGGCTCTTAGACTCTGCCAGTAGAGGGCAGTAGAGGCCGATTAGAGAGCTGGGTCAGGGCTAGGGGATTTGATTATCCCATGCACACTCTGTTCCAGTTCGTGTCACCCAGGTTCCCCTGTTTTCATTGGTGATACCAGTTGATTCTAATAGAAACAGTAGGTTTTAAGTGGCTTCTTTTTTTTTTTTTTTTTTTGGTCCATACTTTGAAACAACCTCGTCATGTTCTTCAGATATACCAGCACCACCTGGCTGGAATCCCTCCTCAGAGTACCCACTATGAGGGCACTCTCCTTTGCCGGAAACTCCTCTCTCAGGACCATTGCTGATTACAGCAGTTACTCTCAATTATGGCTGGATTCCCACAGTGCGGAAGAAACTCCCTTCACTCCCAACTAAGTTACTTACTTAACTATGGGTTCTTAGAGCTTATTTTTATAAAGGTAAAATTAAGAGCATCTAAGTACAAACCCCACTTCATTGAATCAATATGGACTAATGAATACATGAGGTTAATTGGAAAAAAGTAAAAGCTCCATCAACCTATTAAGAAATAATATTCTGAAAACAAATTAGCCCTATGTATATAATCTATACAATTTAAACATTATCATATAGCTTTTATTAATTAATGATTATAATAATTGTTATATTACAACATTTTAACATTTGCATCCCATAATTACAAGAAATAAAATCTCCTTGTATTATTACAAACATATAAGTGTTATAATGAGATATTCAAGCAAAAATATACATGTGGGAATACAGACCAACTTTAAAGAGAGAGAGCAATATTTTTGAATTTCTGAAAATTAAGAAAATCTTGCTCAAATACTTTTAAATGGGCATTGCTGAATTGGAAATTTCTAGGGCATACAATTTCCATGAAATAAATTAAAAACTGTCCTATGGGAGTTTTATTTCTAATGTCAATATTCACAAAATACTAGAAATTAGGTCTTTTTCTGCTCTTTAAAATTTTAATGAAAGTTCTTAGAGTCCTTTTAAAGTTTTGAAGAGAATATAGTGATTTGAAAATTCTTTTAGGATATACCCACATGAAATGTTTGAAGACCACTAGATTACAATAATTTGAAAGGAGATATGTATATTACAAAATAAGAGAGGTGCGTACTCTGAAGTCATGGAAGAAAAATCACCTATTCTGCAAAGGGTTTTGATGCCAGGAATCCCTGGTGCAGGGACCAGAGAGATGGCTGGAGTTAGGGAGCTGAGGGGATCTACCTAGAGTACTGATGTCATTTCCAACCAGGTCTGGCTTCATGGCAAACGAGCAGGACAGTTACATGGTGCCCATGCTCAGAAGGGCCTTGTGCTTTCCTTAAAGCTCTGCTGTCATCAGATTGAAATTCTTGGTAATTTGATATGTGAGCTTGTGTTCACTTTGTAAGATCACTTTGTAAGTGAAGCCTACAGTACAATGATGTATGCACTTGTCCACTACCATTATTTCCTGCCCATGAGCATAGAATTCTGGTGGGTTCACAATGAGAAGAGTTCCAGGAGGACAGAAACAAAGAGAAGAAAAGAAAGGAAGAGACAAGGAAGAAAAGAGAAACAGAGAGATGAGAGGAAAGGATAAAACATAAAACAAAGTATACCGGATGT